GATGGACGGCCTTTGGCGCGGTGTGGTTCGCGCGGTGGGCAAGGGGGTGGGCGAGGGTGTGGGCGAGAAGGTGGTATGAGGGTCGGGGGTCTGTTGATGATGATGATGTTGTTGTTGTTGTCTGACTCTTTGGGTGGTGATTGTTTTTTTGTTTTCTTTTTTTTTGGTTAAATGAGAGAGAGAGAGAGAGAGAGAGAGAGAGAGAGAGAGAGAGAGAGAGAGAGAGAAAGAGAGAGGCATTCATAAATTATGAATGCAAGAGTAGCAAAACAGAAGCGAAGTGCTTGCCAGAAAATAAAAGCCGTCGTTAGCTGGGATATGAATATGAATCCCGCAATCCTTTTTCCGAACCTCCGATAAGCCAGCTCTGGGACACTCACTCACATGCACATAGAGTTTCCTGTAACTGAAAGCTACTACGAAGTGTATTTACCATCACCTCTCTCCCTCGACTGGTCATTCCTCATGCTGGAGACACGAATGAACATGCATGGTGAGAGATCTTATATGCGTATCACTCTTTACACCACGCACATACAACCCTGGACCCGTACCTCTTGCGCATGAATCCGCGGCTAACTCAAGTTGGAAGCCAGACGGGCGACCGCTGTCGTGAAGCATAAACCGATCTCAAAGTGCTCGCCGTAGAGACAACACAACGAACGTTAGAATGAGGATTCGATTTCTTGGTCCTTGTCGGTGCACAGCGATCAAAGAACAGTTCGCGAAGCCTGCACGGAAATGGCAAGCCCGTTTGATCGCGCCATATCCTCGTCTTCTTACAGATGGTCGCGAGGAGGAAAAAAAAAACGTAACACCACCACCAGCGGTAAAGTTTCACTGGCGTCGTCTGTGGTTAAATCGCTAAAGGACAGCGATATCTGAGGTGGTGCGTGCGTGTTCTACACAGAGCTGGGCAGCGACGGTCAGTCATGAGTGTTGCGCCGTCGCGCTGTCACGTTGTGTTTGTTCTTCTGCAACAGCGGTGACTCCGATCAAGCACCACGGTGGTGGACATTTCAGTGGAACCTGGTGGCTGCTACGATGCTTCGTCTTGGTTTACCGTTAAGGAGGACTGTTGTGATCGTAGTCCGTCGTCCATTGTGTCATAGTCTCAAACGGGGCGGAGAGCTTTAATCGGTGAGAGAGACCCGAACGAGTTGAAAAGAAATAAAGGCTTGTAAGATGTGGAAGGGAAGATTGGAAAGTGAGGCTTCGAGTCCGGGGAGGAAACCGTAAAAGAAAACAGCTCACGACTCCACACACCGACAGCGAAATTAGAAAAAAAAAATCCAATGTGGGTTGGTGTCAAAGTTGACCGACAAGGACTGGTCTGGCCGGAGTGACCCGCATTCGGGTGGTACGTTTTGTAGCACAGCAGTGGGTGGCGAGGGAAGGGGGCGTCTGCGGCAAAGAAGCCACTGTATCCCCTTGAGCCTGACAGCCGCTTAAACGCCATCAGTGCACCAGGGAAACCGCCATCACGCCGCCAGGTACCTGCATGATCAGCGGATGCTGCCTTGACGTCGTCTAACGATAGTGAATGCAACAAGGCGAACACACGCACTCACGACAGGATTCATTGGCAATGGCCGCCTACGTTACGCCGTTTGCCATATGCCGGTGATCATGAGGCCGCGCAACGCGTTGCAGTCACTCACAAACCATCTCTCGACTGTTTCTTTTGGGCACAAGCCCCAGTACAACCCACGGCGACGCGTCGCATGCCGGAGGATGCGGACATGGCGGGAGTGGCACGGCAGATGTCAGACCGACGCGGCGGAGAAAACGGGGCCCAGAAATCCACAAACCCGGTTAGGACATTAAGACTGGAGAATTATGGAACGTTGGGCGATGCGGCGTCCAAACGATGGCTGTACTGCCATTGCCTCCTCACTGTGGCGTGGATGGGCGGCCGTGGCTTGGGATTAATTCTCCGATTGAGCAGTGCAAATAGAGTCGGTGAGGCAGTGTCACACCAGCCGTCAGAACTTTGTACTGACCTGCGATATGATCAGGACAATGGGTTGTTTGGCGAGGCGCTTGGCTCGGGACAAAGACCTGGTTGTCGGGTTCCTGGAAACGTCATCCAGGAATCCATCGGGCGGATCCAGGGTCGGTCGGTTCTGAAACCCTGTATCTTTTATTTTCCTGCCGGCTGGATTCTTTTTTCATTGCAGACGTAAAGCAAGGCGGTTGCGAAAAACAAAAAGCCGAGGGCGTTTTGTTTTTCTCACGCCAGGGTGTCAGCTGAGTGAGGTTGGGCGCCAGGTACAAGGCTATTGTAAGTGGGCGTGGGAATACGAAGGTCCTGCAGAGGCGCGAAAGCAGCGACGGCATTGTTAATTGCATACACCGCCAAAACCTGCCTGTCCGGTTGAGGAAGCCAAGAGCCGGGGCACTGTGCGGGCAGCGACCGCCGGGGGGAAGAAAACACCAGGCTGCGTCCATTGCCCTGGGATCGGTGACGTGAGCCGGACATCCGCGAAACAGCCGCGGCCTTCGTCGACGGGGGCCCGGTCTGGCATCGAGTCTGGCTGGGCGATCGGTTTCCCAGGGAAGACGGTAGGACAGTGCGCGCTTCCCCCCCTGGTGCCGGAGGCTTTTGCTCCTTCGCTCGCTTATGCAGTAACACCAGATCGGGGAGCGCACAATCAATCTCGGTACGACGTGCGCGACAGATGCAGAAGCGACGGGGCGGGAATGCGGGCAGGGTTGTGAGGCGGCGGGCCGACATCCACCACCGCTGCGCGTCATTACCGGGACCCTTGCTCTGGCGGATCGGTGTCATATCTCAGAGATCTCCAGGAATGCTACCCTTCGGCGGAGCATCTCGTCCCCGGTTGGTGGGACGCAGCGCGCCCCGGACACAGCTCCAATGAGACAGGGTGGAGTCGGCCCAAAGCGGACAGGAGAGCACCAAACGGGACGAGCAAGAGCAGCCCGGCGCCCGGTTTGGACGCGTCGAGTCTGGCAAGGGCGTGTGGACGAGTCAGGATGGCGGAATGCGACGCGGCTGCGGGTGCCACGAGCACGATGGGTGATTTCTTGCCAGTGGCCGGATGTCAACGAAATGAGGGGTCCATCGAGGGATGGGGGTGCGAGGCGAGAGGCGCGAGGTTGCAGCGGAGCCGGCGCGGCGGAAACGCGGGCAGGCTGGAATATTCTCGAAGGGAGGAAGAAACCGGGGCCAGCTGGGCGGCCTTCACGACGGCGAGACGAGCGGCGGGCGACAGGTCGCATGCGGGAGGACGACAGGCAAGATGGAGGCGGTTAGGTCGCGGTAGGCGGGAGGATCCGCGCGCCCTGGCGTTGGTGCAGGGGAAACGGGCCAGTTGGAGCGCTTGCCGGGCGACGCCAGGGAGCGGGTCAGACGTCGAGGTGTTCCTGAGGAGGGCTCACCAGCAACCGGGTTTCGCTCAGGATCTTGCAGGTAGATCGATCCCTGGAGATCTTGTGGCCGGCGAGGTTGGGTCGGCTGCATGGTTAGGCACGTTTCTTCGGCCTTGAAACCAATAAGACAGCTGGAATGGCGCAGCGCGGCAGGGCCGGCAGGGCGCGGCAGTCGGGGGTCGACGGGGCGGGCGGGCGGCGGTGCGGGCGCTGGCGGGTGAGGGGTGAGACGCGGTGGTGGTGGTGAGGGCAGCGGTGGCAGCGACGGCAGCGACGGCGGCGATGGTGGATCGACGGTACATGCCAGCCTGGACCCGCGGGCCTGGATGCCGCGCAAACGGCGTCGGTGGCGCGCTGCATGGGGCCGGTTCGAGCAGCCGCGGCTTCCCTGCGCGGCGACGCCCACCGCGCTGGTGGAGGACATGCCGCAACGGATTTCGGGCACAGGAGACGCTGCGTCAGCGGCCTGAAGCGGCAGCGCGCGCGGCGGGGGCCCTGCTGGCGCGCTCTGAGCCGGCGAGCGCCGGGAGGCTGTGTTTTGCTGCTCCAGCGCTGGCGCCAGTGGCCGCCGGTGGCCGCGGGCAGCAGCCAGGCGGGCGTCCGGGCCCGGGCTGAGCGGGGCACGGCGCTCTCTGGCGCTCTCTCGCGACTCTCTCGCCCTCCCTCTCTCGCCGTCGCTGCTGGCCGCCCTGGGTGGCACTCAGCCCTTTGGCCCGCTGACCAGGGGCTTGGAACGGCCCTGTCGCCGCGCATTGGCCGGCGCTGGCGGGCCATCGCACCGCAGAGCCTTGTCTCAGGTCGCCCAGCGCGCAACCAGGTCGTCAGGACCGCCAGGCATTCCGCTTTGCGCTCAACGGCGGCGACGATGTGACACGTCCACAGCCACTGCCCCAGCCGCGCTCCGCCCAAGAATGAACCCGCATTCCCTTGCAACAAGGATCAGCTACTTGGAACCACCACACCCATGGCCGCGGTTGCGGGCCACGACGCCCTAGTCTGACAAGCTTCGCCAGCCCATGCCGCTTCGGGCGCGCGCGCAGAGCGTCTTTTGATATAGGGTGGCAGAGCTCCAACTCCAGTGTGTTACGGGCGTGTATCTGTTCCCAGATCTGTCCACCGCCTGTCCCAAAGCGACCCAGGACCCATCGTCGACTCAGTTGGAGCATTCCGCAACAGCACGGCCCAAACCAGCGAGCCTGCTCACTCACTTGGTGCTATATAAGACGCCTGCCGGCGCCCTGGAGATCTGCCACCATCGGAGATCAGATCCCCTCTTTCGACCCACGCCTGCCCGTCTCCAGTCGAACCGGCGGATCCAGTCCAGTCTCTCTCTCTCTCTCACCGTCTTCCTTCGCCCCGGCGCCCTCTGTCTAGTGTGTAAGTTAGAGCCAGCCAGCTTCCCACGGCCCCGAGTTCTGAGCTGATTGTCGACGTCACAGGCGCCTGCTCCAGCCGCTCTTTCGACTACTTCAGCCCGCTGCCTACCGCCCTTCGCCGGAAACCACCCCTCCGCCCCTTCTCGCCCCTTCCCGCCCGCACCATGGCTGTCTCCGGCAACTGCGAGCACTCGTTCAAGATGGTCAAGTCGGACAACTCGCTCATCCACTGGATCTGCAACATGTGCCATTCCGGGCCGCACTGGTTCATCTTCGAGTGCCAGCGCTGCAAGCTCAAGACGTGCCGGCCGTGCTCGCAGAAGGCGTAAGGCTCGACGCGGCTCTGCGGCGGCTGCGGGCAGTCCTGCAATTTTGGTGTTGACGTCGACCGTCTCGCTAACCGGGCCTCCGGTTGAGAGGGCGTGGGACGATCTGCACCCGCCCATCGCAGCGGCGCAGGGATCTGGAGCCCTGCCGAGATCCACTCGCACACGCCGCCGCAGAGCAAACAAAACGCGCGCCTCACTGTCCGTCCTCTGTCCTCGTCTCTTTCCTCAGCATCACCTCTCCTCCCTCGGCTTCCCTCGGCTTCCCAGGCGTTTTGCGGCGCTCGTCGGCTGCTCCGGGGCCCGTCAGACGCACAGACGGGCCCGCTGCATCAATCTCGAATCGGATCGGTCTCCACGGGCGGCTCTCTGTTGCGGCTTCCATTTTCTTCTTTTTTTTCCACCTGCGACAAAAAGCAATTTACTTGACTTTGGCACGGCGCTCGATATCCTAGACCGGACAGGGGATTTATGCACGCGTTGGCGAATGGGCTTGGGCGATTTTGCGAAATACCTCTGGCGTACCTGACTTTGGCGTGGCTTGCATGATTCAAGATTGGCCTGAACGGGTTGGCTGCGATCCCGCCCCTTTCCGCTTCCTCTGACACCGCAGCAAACCTGTCTCAGCCCTCGCCGCCGCTCTCGCGAGGAGCCTATTTCTGTTTCCCTTTTTTTCCCTTGGTTTCTTTTTCCGCATCCTTTTCCTTGGCATCACGGCATTTTCTTTTCATGGCTATTTACAAGACGCTGCAACAAGATCTCCGCGCACGCGCAAGCACCGCGCTTTTTTTTTTTTTTCCTTTCCTTTCCTTACCTTTCCTCTGCCAGCTCTACCAAATCTCAGCATTGTCTACTGCAGTTTTGGTAATGGATAATGTATCACGTTAAGCAACAAAGAGTGCTCTGGAATATCCGCACAACGTGTCCGGTCTGCTCTCGTGACTAGTGCTGCCATGTGTGTGCCTGGCTGCACTTGCTGCCAGCTGAACCTCACCCCATGCTCCACTTGCCACTTCCCACGGCCGGCGCCAATCCCATCCCATCCTCCAGGCAGCCAGTGTGGCAGCCTCAAAAAAGCGCCCCCCCTTCCCCGTCGTTGGCTCCGTCGGCTGCTCCGTCCGCCTGCTGCTCGCCCGACGTTCGGAGGGGGGGTTCGTCATATTGGCCGGCCCATCGCATCTGCTGCTCATGCACGCCCATATTTTTTTTTGCCTCACTCACGGCCACGGCGGCCAGCTCACCGCTAGCTCCACACCCCACGCATCTCAAACAGGCGTTTCACAGGCCGGGGGAAGAAATAATGGGAGGGACGTCGCGGAACAGAGCCCGGCCCGTTGCACAGTACACGGCGGGGCGGCGCATCGACAGTACCCACGACGTACCCCTCGGTGGTGATGCGGGACATGGGGGGGGGGGGGGGTTGGGTGCAAGTGCTCGCGCCCAGATCTGGCCATTGAGCTCGCTGAAGAATTTCAATTATTATGATTGCTGCCCAGCTCCTCCCAAGCAGCAGCTCCTTGCTACATGAGCATGAGGCGAGCAAAACACACCGCTCCTTTTCCTTGCCTTTCCCGCACGGCATCGATGATGGCGCTGTGGCGAGACCGAGCACAGGATGGTTGTTGCTTGCGCGTCGAAGGGGTGTGTGGGGGGGAGGGAGAGCTGCCGTTAATGGGCCGACAGAGGTGCAACATCAGGCGCACAACGGGGATCGCTGCGGTGCGCGGCAGCACACGGCGTCACCATTGACGACCTAGCTATTGAGAGCGACCTCAGCAGCGTGCGTGTGCGTGTACGTGTGCGTGTGAGTGAGCTAGCCTTCCTTCGCCCAAAACAACTGGCCTCGCCGCGAGACTAGACGGAGCGGGCGACAGAGCGATTCAGAGTTGGGCAAAGGCAGAAAATAAAAATGTTAAACAGTGTGTTGACTTTTGCTTTTTTTCTTTTTTTTTTTTGCAGCTTGCTTTGCCAGGCCATACCTCGTCGCGGAACATCGGGAGCGCTTGCTTAGCGTTGTAGGCCAGATCGCACGCACGCGGGGATCGAGAGGGCGGCATGCAGGAATCACGCCGTCAGCCAAATAATGGGCGATGGCCCGACCGGGATGGTGGACAGCCCTACCAGCCCTGGGGCGGCGGAAGGAGTACCAGGGGTGGAGGGGGTTCCTGCGCGTGGCCTCTGCCCTCGCCCTCGGACAATCCCAAACAAAAGGCGACGTCATTATTGTCCCCGGGCGGGCCGAGGGTTATTTTTCCGAGAGAGGCACGTCACGTCTCAAGAGGAGGCGTGGGTGCGCGCGGCATCCCGGCCGCCAACGGTCGTTTGGTTGAGATTGGCGACGGCGGAGCAGCGCCGGCGCGCGCACGGGTCAGCCCTATGATCACCGACCGGAAACAAAAACGAGGCAAGCGGTGACAAGCATCGCTACGAGCAGAGTTTGAGCGTGAAGCCAAAGCCAAAGCACAGCGCCGCCGGTTGCCTGAGCGAGAGGGGAGCAAAAAGCTGAAACTGTCGCCGCCTTCCCTTTCCTGACCGGTCGTGAAGCTTCCGTCATCATGCACTGCATCTTCCGCCTTGGGCAGCCGACCTGCCCGTTCTGGGGTCGTGGGCGTTCGCGGACACTAGCAGGGCCGCCTTCCTCGGCGCCTGCGGATGATTCTGCAGTTCGGCAAGTACGTTTGGAGCGTAGCGGCTGCTACAGGGCGGAAAGGGACGAAAAGGGACGAAAAAGGTGCCTCCTTCCACTTCCGCGCGCCCAATCGGGGGAGCAGTCGAGAGGGATCCCAGTCGCTTGGCCGGCAGGATCAGCACCACTCGCAACATCTGCCCTCATTTCCGCGAGGGAGGCCCGGGGCTGTTCGGCGAGAGGCCCTGGAGCGCGGGTGGTACTTGGCGGCGACAGTTGGCCAGCCACGCTGCATGCCAGCTGCACATGACTCCCTGATTCTGCACGTAAGCGTTGTCCCCGTCTGAGTGCTCTGGCTGCGCCTAGCCGTAGCCGAGGCCGGATAAGGCTGCCGGGCTGGTGCACGCTGGGTGCACGCCCGCAACAGGGCAGCCTCCCACCTTACAGAAACCGTCGCACAGCCGGGAGGCGGGCGCGCGCGTCTTTTGGCACCGCGCACAGGATGCTTAGCTGCATTTCGCCTGCGGTGGCCTGCGGTCGCAATGTCGCCGCCACGTAGGACGTACCCGGCGGACGGGGGCCATGCATCCGGCGTAGATCATCGTCCACGCCGCGGCTCGCCATTGGCTCCGGCGCCGGCAGTGCAGCAAAGTGGGTGCGGCCACTTGTACCTGCATTAGCTCCCCCCACGCCAGATCAGCACCGCACGCACTATGATCCACGCCTCGCAACCGCGGAGCAACATCCGAGCAGAAGAAGCCCCATTCCGACGACAGCACAGAGGCAGTGTGAGAAAAAGACCAGCATGATGATTGATTCCACACCACATCCGCCTCACTTTCGCGAGATACATTGCTCGCGCCCACTTTTTCCGGCACGCCTGACCTGCATATCCGCCGCCGCCGCCGCCTTGCCGCACCCACATGTATCCATTGCTGACTCTGCAACTGCCGTAGGTAACTCCTGCAGCCACCCGCTTCACCCACGTGTCACCAATTACCGAGCGGCCGATCCGGCCAAGCGAAGTCTCGATCACGCTCCCTCGTGCGCCTCAGTAACTACAGTGACGTATACACGCATGCATGCACGTACTGTGTATGCACACGCATGCACTTACGCCACTCTCACGACATGATCATCATCTAGACGTACGTCGTGGGGTGAAGGGATTCGGTAGTCGCCTCGGCCGCCAGCCGCGCAGAAGCCCTCGCGGAATGAAATGGATCAATCCCCCCACTTCCCCAAACGGATCCATCTGCCGTGCGGAACCGCAGCAGGGTTCCAGGATGTCAGGGGTGGTTGTGTGGGGACCATTGCTTTGATACGCTGTCGGGGTTGTGTGGCGTCGAAGGCTCGCTAATGCTATATTGGACGTCGCGGACGACGTCTGCTCGTGACTGGCTGGGTCTGCTCATATCACCAGATTTTGGGTTTTGGGTGGGGTGATGGTAGCGTGAGACGGCGAGCGGGCGGATGAGGGCTGTGCTGCGTACTGCTGGATGTTCGGTGTCTGTGTTGTTGTTTAGGGTAGGTGGTGGTGTGTTGTTCTCGTCGTTTGGGGAACTTGCTGCGTGAAGTCGGGCTCTGAGAACCAAGATGCTTCGTTTGGAATTTTGTGGTTGCATCCTTGGCAGAGACTGTTTTCGGTGGGCGGTTGGGTTCCGAGACTGGGATCGAACATGAGAAGTGGCTATTGTGATGTCGTCGTTACACGGCTCTGAAGCTCTTTTGTTCAACAGATGAAAAACCCCTCAGGAATAGAAAAACATCTATGACAAGGACTGAACCCTTTTCTGATTAGTTGTTGTAGAGTCTTCGGGGCCGAGGGTCGGCAAATGGACCTACATATCCGATATGCAACAACAAGTGACCCCAGAGATGTTGCCGAAGTGCTCGGTCGCTATATGGAAGCGTCGACTCGGTTTCAGCTGTCGCCGTGCCTTTCGATGAAACCTGCTACGCTTGAAGACGAAGACTGAGAGATTTTCGACTGATTATTTGAGCAGGCATCCTAAACGTCCCGTGTTCCGCTCCTCCCATCCCTCTTTGTCAGCTCTAAGCCACCAATTCCGCATTCCCTCGCGTCATCCTCTTCCACAGAATGCATTTCTTCTGCTAGTAGACCCCCAAAGCGTTGTACCAGTGAACGTCCATTAGAGCCCTTGAGTTGATGGGAACGTGCGGTTGGACTTGTGGTCAATGCGGTGCAGATCGTACGGACCACTACGGTCTCACGACGAGAAGGCGCACATACCTATAAGTGTAATAAAAGACGTGATCACGATCAAGTATAGGAGATTGAACGAGCTATCGGGCAAGGGGCTTAGTAAAAATAAACTTTTCACTCACGTATTCTCCTCCACACGCCTCACCACGACGCCCAATCTCAAAACCATGATCCAACATGAGGGTGGTGGGGTCGTGATATGTCGCCGGTGAAGGAGGGCAGGCTTCAGGCTTCGAGGGGAGATCTATTACCCCCACAGAGGTCTAGACACTCTGTTCCGCATGAGAGGGTGCGTTTATGATGTGTCTAGTGACGGTTTGAGGTGCAATGACGTGCCGCCATCACTTCTTCTTCCGCAAGAGGGACGCCAGTGAGACAATGTGGTATCGTATTAACTATCAGAGTGTGCAGATGAATAAGAAATAGTACGAGAGTACCTATCCCTTGCTTGAGAGATTTTGCTGGGCGGGGCAGACGAGCCTTCAACCATCCGTTTGGCAATGGGTAACAACCATACGTATGAGCCTCGACCGCCCCTTACGCTTTCTCTAAACTATTTGAAGGCACTCGAAAGTATCGTGGCTTCAATTCTTTAACTCAGCTGCAGTCCCACAATCAAATGTTAGTGGGACAAAAACGTCTCATCTCTAACGAATAAGAGTTACATGACTGTCCTGCAGCCTCGCGTCCGTAGCACACGCACTAAATTTGTGAATGATAAAGTAACTCCGCGTAGCAAGAAAGCATAGCATCAACAGAGATTTAATTTGAATCCAGGTCTCACCGATTCATCGGAGTCCCATTCTCGAGCCCGTCTCACACAGGGGCGCTTGCTCCAAGGCCAGCTGGTCCTTGAACCTCACGACCACTCTGTCTGGGATTGATGCGTTTTGCCACAGAATCACCGATGCATTTTATTAAGAGTCACCTGATGCGGCAACTTTCACACTTCCAAGGAACGCATCGAAGGATGAAGAAACAACGAATCAAAAGGTAGCCACGAAGCGTGAAGACACCGGGGCAAAACAATTCAGATTGGCTGGAAATTGAACCCAAGCTTCATCGATAGAAGTCCCGCGTCCGGCCCGGGGACGACAACCACCGGACTCCGGTCTAGAATCAATGCGTCTTGCCACTAAACTACCAACACTACTTTTGTGATAGGACGGCAGTGGAGAAGTCGACTATGAATAATAAAAGGATCCAACGTGCAGGTGCTGATGGGAAAGTGCAGTAGACGGGGTGCCAGAACCGGTACGCACACGGCTTGGCGTCCGGAGCTAAAGACATGACCTTCATGTTATTGTGCTTGCAACTTACTGCTGCATGCATGGAATCGGTTTGACTGTCTCACCTGATGACCGGCCATGGAATCCTGCGTCAATGCTATGGTAGCAATCTAAGCCTCACAGCACAATTCTCGCACCAGAGCATCACTAATCTACCTCACCTTCACTCACCCCGACACAGTGGGGGACGGAAGATTCTGACCGACCTATATGAGCAGCGGAATCCTGTATCTGGATGCATTTGTATTGTTTTAATACTCACATCTTCGCCCGGATATCTCCCTCAGCTACTGATTACATCTACGTCGGTATACTTGCCTCAACTACCCACACGAAAGATCGCCGTATGCCAGCTTATCTCGTCATCAACCGCGCTGAAAGACGATAGCAAGTCAGACATATCATACAACCTCCGCATATCCTCCAGGCCCCATGCCCTCTCAGTCCAGCTGGCCGGGGGTTGGGCGGTACTTCGGCTGCGCGGGCCGCCGCCCATCATTTCCGTTTCCATAAGTACCGCACTCCACTTCGGCCAACCCAGTCGCACACACGCATCCGGCGACGCCGAGAAAGATAACGACGCCGAGAAAAAAAGTGCTTTCTCGGGGGAGATCTGCGGTCCGCCGCACCGGATGCAGTTCCCAAGGAAGGCAGATGGAATCCACTTTTGCGGTGATCTCGAGTATAAACTGACGTCACGGATCTTCGTGCTGGTTCGATATCTGTTCACTAGGTACTCTCACCGCAAGGGGGAAAAAAAAAAGAGGCGCGGCGGACAAACTAGAAGGAGGGGGGCGCGCGCGCGCGCGTGCGCTACGGGCGTAAGTAGTAAAAGTGGTTTTGCGAATGTTGCGAGAGAGGAGGGCACCAATATCGAGGTGTTTTTTCTCATCGGGCACCGCGTCAGTGAGCCCGGCCATTGTAGAGAAGCGAGATTGCGATGAGAGGTTCGTCGCGAGAGCGAAGTCGATCAGCCGGGACGAAGAAGACGCGTGCGTTGCGATGTGGACGTGGTCTGCGGGTTGCGAGTCGAGTCAGTGGGGAGAGAGTAGGGCCGAACGCTGGACCTGCGGTAGAACCAAAGCTCATTCTTCAATAATTTCTTGCCTTGGACTTTGTCTGATATCTTCCGGGGGCTCCGGAGAAACTCAGCAAAAAGCAGCGGCGGGATAATAATAAGGGGTTTAGCATGCAGGGTCTTTTTGTTCCGCTCAAGCAACGTTTCCCCGATCTGGCTAGCGGGGGTCGGTTCCCGGAATGTTGTCGCAAGGGCGTGACGACCGGGATGTGTTGGGTAGATGACGAGAGGGTGCTCTCGCGCGGATACGGCGATACGATGGAGGGCCCGGACGGTCGGTGCCAAGGCTGTCCCAATGCCGTGGGCATGTCGCCGGGGGGGTGTGTCCTGAGCAACAACACCTCAATCTATCTGACGAACGCATGCCGCTGAGAAATCCAAAAAGCCGCGGCTGGACAGACTACAGGTCGCGGGCCGCCCCATGGCGTCCGAGGCCAGTCTTCTCCATCCTCTCGTCATCACACCATCGGCCTCATGCCTCCGAAGAAACGCCCCGGCGCGCGAAGGGGGGGTGTTCGTCACCGTGGTCCCTGACTCAATCAGCCGAAGGTGGCGCTCGTCAGCTGCAATCAATGACCCGATACGGCGCCTGCTGCCTGTTTCCGGACCCCAAAAAAGGTCCCGTCCCCCGCACTATGTGGGTCCCTCGTGGCTTTTCGTGATCTGCTGACGGCACAGGTCGTTTCGAAATACAGCCCTGTTCCCCTGTTGCGGGTCCTGCGATGCAATAACGCCGTTCGGAGACGTCGGCTAAAATGGGAAGGGGAATCTACTCCTGCCGACCCACGTGCAAGCTTTCCGTGTCGTGGGTGAAGGAACGAAGGGATAGGAAGCATGCTCAACAATGGATACCGGCTGGCCGTGTACCAGGGGCCAGGAACCGTCAAGTGTTGGGTCCGGAACACGTTCCGAATGATGGCGTCCCAGCCACGTAATCAACAGAGGTTAAGTAGTTCTTGATTCTACGTTGAAGATTACATACCGTTGGGTCGTTGCGCCTCGAGGCCGGAAGGGAACCTCATCAAACAGGGGTATCAGGAAAACTGTTCAGAGAGTAGTAAGGTAAGAAAGTAGGAGATATCCCATCGTCACTGCCAGCCCGAGCGGAGGGCCTGTTTGTTCTGTAGCTTTCGCGAGCGCCAACGACTCTCCTGAAGCTGTGCGAACCCGGAATAGGCCCCCCTTCCATTCCACAAAGAGACATCTGTATCCTCCATCATCCGGTTCTGCACACCACGCCATTGCCCCTGCATTAATGCACAAAATGCACTCTACGCCCGTACAAGCACCCTTCTGGCAGGGGTTCCGCTTTTGAGCTTCTAATCCCGATGAGCGATTGGGAGGAGGCAGTCACTCCGGGCATCTTCGATGACGAATTGACGTATGGCTGTCGTCTGGCGTTCCAAGGGTGTCGAGCCTCGGGAAGGCAGTAATAAAAAAAAACAAAGGCGATGCGCCTCGCAGGCGGTGACTCGGGCTACGAAGCCCTGGAGCTGGATGGGCCGGCGGACGGGCGGGTCGAAGGGGCGTCGGACGACCTGGTCGAAGGGCCGGTGGAGGGGCGGTCGCTCGCAGTCTCGTCCCACTGCTCGGCCATGATCTCGGGAAACAGGGCCTTTGTGGAGAGGCCGTCGACAAACTCCTTCCAGCGCACGACGTGGGTGCCCTGCTCGTTGAACTCCATGCTCCACACGTACTCGTTGGTCCACGGGCCGGCGACGGTGGTGCCGGTGCAGATGGTCCACATGCAGATCTTGCGGGCGGGCACGTCCTCGATGATCTCGTGGATGGAGATGTAGAAGGTCTTGAAGGTGTTGAGGATGAAGTTGAGGGCGCGCTGGGCGGCGTCGTTGTCCTGGGCGGGCATGCCCATCGACTTGGGGTAGATCTCGCGCCAGCAGCTGCGGTCCCGCATGTTCCACACGGCGCGCGTGTCCAGCCGGTTCAGGGCGTCGACAATGGCCAGCGCGGTGCGCCGCTGCTGCGTCATGGCCGGCGCCTCGCTGGCCTTGGGCTTCTTTTCCCTCCACAGGGGCATGGCTGGAGACTGAGAGGGTGTGCGCGGGAGGAGAGAGATGCAAGTAGTAGAGCTGAGAGTGTGGGGGAAAAGCCAATCTTGAATGCAGCTCACCGTCATTTCAGCGCACCGTGTGGGCCGGCCAGCCCCAGCCCCAGGCTTATCAGCAACACCGGAGCCAGCTCCCCGTCCAAGACGCCCGACTGCTCTTGTCCTGCGCTGGAGATGGCCGCGCTACGGGTCGCTAAGGCAGAGGCAGCAAATCGGACCGTTGCTTCACCACTGGACCGCATGCGACCCATCCCCGGAAACGGCACCGATGCCTCCCTTGCCTTGTGGCTGGACATGGCCCTGGACGAGCTCTTGATGACAGCGCACCAGACCCGTGGCTCAACAGCGCGGCCAACGCCACAAGCCCGCCCGCCGAGCCACCGTGGTCTGAGTTAACGCCATCACCCTTGGCCGTCCTCAACTCACCTCCAGCGACACTACCCCGGGAACGGCATCTTTGCCGAGGTTAGGCAGAGATCCTGACAGCCCTAATGCGCTATCCAAGCCACGCACGGCTGAGGAGAGAGCAATATCCAGGTACGGTAATCATTACGCAGCCCATATTTTGTGTCCACCAGCCTTCAACCCACGTCTGGACCGCCTGAATCCGACCTCCCGGGCCCGAGCGCACCACCAACACCGCTCCATAACTTTGATGGCCTCGCAATCGCCTGATAAGCTCTGCCTTCAACCACCACCGTCGACCCAAGCCCGGCAGAGCTATCAGCCGTGGCTATCGGGATGGATGCCGCACCCCGGGGACGTACCTTAGTCGACCAGCTTTGCAGTAGCTCGAAATGCCACATCCAGAGCAAGCAAACACAATAATCCTGCAAGCCCGGTGGCACTCGCTCGCACGCTCTGGCCGGGCCTCTTTTTTTTTTGCGCTCTTCGCCTCTGTGGCTTCACGGCTCTAGGTACTAGTCGCGCGGCCGCAGTTTCCCGTCGACGGATGCTTGTTTAGCTGCACGTCACGCCCAATACCCTTGCGCCGTTCTTGCCCACAACCTACCCCATCGGGCTAGCCCGTCCATCTCCGCTAGTCCCGAATCCTTTTTTTCCCTCACCAAAAGGCAGGGAAAGGACGGGGCCCCATCGCCGGGAAACTGTAATTCGACCGCACCCTTTTTCCCCCCCCCTCCCCCCCGTATGACATTAATTTGCCCGACGAAGGCACGATGACAGATGCCGGTCGCCTCATTCGCTGATCAGTTGTTCTTCCTTCTGCCGGACGGGACGGGGTATGTGCCGCACGCACGCACACTTGAGCGCGGCGCGCTCGTCTGGTTTGCTGCATAATATTGCGGCAATAGTAACGGCCGCCGCATGATTCGCAGTCGAAGCCATCGACGTTGATTGGTGGAAGAGTGATTTGATATCTCCCCTCCAGCTGATGTGGAATGATAACGGGAGGGGGGAGGGGGGG